AGAGATTAATTCTGGGTGATAGTCATCTTGGTGATTTTTATTTCAATATCCTATATATTGTTTTTTAATTAAACTTGGCATTCCATATAACATATGGAATAATAATCTGTTTTCTTTAAATATATTTAAATTAAAATACAAACTGGTGTATTAGCTGGTCAGAGGGACACACCTCGGGAAGGATTTCACAAGCGTACCTGCCCCTGGGATGAAGCAGCAGGTGGATGCGCACCACCAGCCTAGAGGTTTCCCAGAGCCAGCGCTGGGCTGGAGAGAGGGTAGAATTTGAGAGGGGGAAGAGTATGCTAGGTAACTAGGCCCAAGGAGCAAAGAGGAGCCACAGGGGCCGAGGACCTGGAAGGAGGTTGGGCAGCGGGAAGCACCTTCTTGAAGATGGTACACAGCATATTCTGCCGACTGTCCTGTGTTCTGGAAGTGCCTTGACCCCCAGTCCTGTCAGCCCTCTGGGTCTGACTCTCCATTACTGCCACTTGTCCTGAGTAGAACGTTTTGCTCCATAACTCTGTCGAAACCTCTGCTGCTCTAGGTTCAGGGAGCACCACAAGCCCTCAAGGAGCTGAGACCATCAGAGGCAAACAGTAAACGAAGCCCTCTAACACAGCGTGAGCACTGTCCCACGTGCAGTGGGAGGCAAACTGCTTCTTCCCAGTAGGTCAAGAGGCTTTCAGAAGAGCAGGGACAGGTGGATGGGCGAGCTTACTAGCAGAGAAGGGTATCAACAAGAGACTGAAGGCAGGAAGGTTGGAGCCAGAAACTGCCCCAGACTCCTGTGGCTTATTCATTCACAAAATAGCTATCTAGAATCTGCACACCCAGAATGGATCTAGGCAAGGCCCACTGGCTGGGGTAAAGAGAAAGCACAAGCGCCATAATGCTCAGACTTCTAGCTGGACAAGGAAAACAAGAAACATAGTAGTGTTGTGGAAGGGAACATAGAAGTTCTGTATTGCAAATCTGATATACTTAACTAGTCTTTCAGATACAGCATTTCAATAAACATTTGCAACACAGGCCTGAGATTCAAGAACGGGGCTTTGAAGATGCTAAGCACAGATGGCCTTGTCCTGGCCCAACCAGCCTAACAGCCCCAGGAACAAGCCTGCAGCCTGACCAAGCTGGGTCCACTAACGCTCTGCCATGAGGAGGCTGCACAGCAGATGAAATCTAGAGTGCTTAGTTAACCAAAGGAGAAAAACTAAGTATACAATTCTGGAAGAGGTGGAATAAAGTCTAAATGAAGAAGTGCAATAATAGGCTCAAAGCAAAGCAAAGCTATGAAGAAAAACAGGTCTGTGCTGCCAAGTGGAGGCAGGGTCTTGCTTCCTTAAACTCTATGAAGTTAAGATGAATATAGAATATTGGATCCAGAATCTCCTTTTCAGAAGCTCTGCACTTGGGTTATTCTGGGTCAGTGTGACTTAGACCCACCAATCCAGAGCCAGATGTTCTGTCCCTGCTGGCCGATTACTTTCAGGCCCTAAAATCTTGGAGAATGTTATTTTTCCGGGAGTATGAAAGTGGTT